CTGGTGGGTGGCTGCGGCCGCTCAGCTGCTCTCGGCACAGGTGCTCCTCCGGTCTCCTCCCTCGGCGTGGCCTTGCCAAGAATTTGTTCTCTCTCTCGTCGCAGCCTGACATCACCTGTTGATCGCGCCTCTTTCCAAGCTTGCATGGCATCCAGGAGGTGTTGGCCGCGGGGCGCTGCCCCACACACACGGCCTTTTGTTCGCGCCTTCCTCCTTGCTGCTCTGCCGCGGGAGACCCTCTGCCCGCAGGGTGTCCCCAGCGTGGCCCGTCCGTGGGCCACGTCCTCCCGTGGGTATCTGGGTGTCCCCAAGTGCGTGGCCCATCCATCGCACCCGCTGCCGAGCAGCTTCTCGGAGCYGCTTGTGGTGCCTCCTTGCGCTGGGTGCACCTGGTTCTGGGGTCGCTCTGTGTGGCTCTTCTCCCACATCAAGAGTAAATTGGGGCTGTGGGACAAAGGGACATAAATAGGGAGTGGGGTAGCGATGTTCCCCACGAACATGTTCTTCTCCATGGCCACAGTGGATATGCAGCAGGATCAGCCAAGTCTTCTCTAGAAAGGATGGCATGGGAGTGAGGAGGAGGTCCGGGAGGTCCCCTTGCTGCTCTGGCCACACAGCCTGCAAATGCCACATGTCCCCCTGCCTGCGCTGCTGCTCTCTTGCCTTTGGGCTTTCTCAGCTGGAGCATCCCTCATTCCTTCATCCCTTACCACGCCGTTGCATTCCCTGTTTTCCCTGCCAGTCCCGCTCCATCAACTGTTACTGCTGAGAAGCCCTGTACCTGCTCCATGTGCTCAACAACCCCCTGCAGCTKCCTCCCCAGATACCATCATATCTGTGAGGAGTTTCCTCAGGATGAAACATCCTTCAACTCCCAGGAAAGCCCCCCTGCAGCGACTGGGACAGTATTTGGGGCGAGAAGGTCCCTCTCCTGAGCATGTGTACTGATAAGTCTACCACAAGCTTGAGGTGCTGGTGGAGACAACGCCAGAAAAGCCAACATGCTGTGACTGGCACTGTGGAGCAAGGAGGTTCTCTGCAAGTGGAGACCTTCCAGGAGGCCCATCGACACACGAGGAAGCTTCTCAAGGCTCCAGCGCAAGGGTTGGGTGGACTTTTGTAGGGTCCCAGGGTTGCTGGTGAGCACACTGCTTGGGAAGGTGGCTCTAGCTTGGTGGGGTGTGCAGCCCCACCGCAATCTGTGTGTGATAGGAACCTAGCAGAGCTTGTAGGGTCTAAGGTCTTGGGCTGGCACTGGCATTTGCTGCCCCMCCTCATGCAGCCGCAGCAGATCTAGGGCAGGGTGTCTGGAGGGCTCTGGCCTTGCCCTGGCAAACCAGGATCACTGTTTGGAGGGGTACGGCTGCGCACCGCACACAGTTCAGCCTAGGATGACTCTGCGTCCTGCCGGGGTGAGACCTGAGGACCCATGTCACCAGTGGGACAAAGCTGAGCCCTCCAAGGGTGCCCAGAGCTAGCTGGGCTCAGCTGCCCTCTCCACCAGTCTGGGACACGCTCAGTTCCTCCCGTGTCCATACATGCTCCAAGATATGGGCCAAACCCTCTGGAAAGCCCCTGGGAATTGCTGCAGATCCTGGCCATGGAGCTCGCAGGATGGAGAACCCGTCCATATGGTTATGCCTGTTTGCAGTGGGGCTGGCAGGTCCCCACCACCTGTGTGTGGGGCTGCAGAGCAGAGTCTCTCTGGGCATCCCACAGCCGAGCTCTGGGRTTTGAATCCTGGCTCCCCATCGCTCCCACTCTTCTCAACGATGTCCTAACACGCTGCTGGAGTGGGTCCTCAATGCCACTGCTAGCCAGGCAGATGGGTGRCTCTCTCCCTGCAGCCTTCCTCCTGCCCTTCTTCACCAGGAATAATAATAATTAATAAGTGAAAGCCTGTTTTGGTGTTTCTGGTACACATGGGGTCCCGTGCTCCCTGCCACCCAAAGGCTTTTGCTCTGCTTGGGGACCCTCCTCCAGCTTTGATAGAAGCGGACTCTGTCCGTCTGCCTCTCCAGCGCTCCCCAARGACAAAATCAGGCGAGAACGGCAAAAAAAACCCAGGCGCCGGCTCCAGCTTCGGATAAAACCATCTGTTTCCAAGCATCCCGTGAAGAACGCGGCAGGAAGGGTGGCCCTTGGCAGCGGCCGGGCACCCGCTGGGTGCGCTAACGCAGCAGCGCCAGCGGAACGGGCGCCCGGCCGCTCCGCCTGCGCTCCCAGCGCTGCTCCCGCAGGCCCCTGCGCTTCCTTTCCTCCCCCAGCCTGGGCTGCCTTGGCCTTTTCCCACGCCGCGGTTCTTCTCCCGTGCCTCTCGGCGCGGCGCTGCCAGCTCAGCATCAGCTGGGAACCCAGGAGCCTCCTCCGCCAGACAGCGGCAAAGACCTTAAATAACACGGGCGCATCGCGGCCCGCCAGCGCGCCCAGCCCTGGGCCTCCCGCCAGCCTCCCGCAGAGGGTTTTTGCTTTTCCGGATTATTTTTTTTTAAGTGACTAAATTGAAACTTCCGAAACAAACCCTCCAGCTCCAGCCTCTGGAGCTGGAGCTGCTCATCCGTGCGGGCCAGCAGTCCGTCCTGAGGAGGTCTAGCCCGGCCAGCGGATGGATGCAGMAGAGCATCTTCAGCTCTCCAACTGCTGGGCAAAACCCTGCTGGCTCTGGACGTGTCCTCCTGCCCCAGCCCCTGCGTGTGTGGAGCACTGGGACTGTGTCACCGTGAGGTGACAGCTGCCTCCTACCCGCTTTGCTCCGGGAAGCTGGCGCCAGCTTTTCAGGACCAGTGCTCCCTCGGTGATGCTCCTGGTCCCCTGAGACGGCAAAGGTGGCAGGAGTAGGATATGGAGTGCGGCACCCTGCGGGCCACGGCCAAGTGCACTTTTRTTTTTAAGCCTTATCTTTATTGCCGCTTTTTTTTCTCTGCTGCCCTGGTGGGAAATGCGCCGTGCGCCTTATCTCTGCGTGCGCTGGCAGCACGGCGTGTTCCCGCTCCTCCCGGGGAGGAGTGCGCGGCTTGTCCTGCCGGGAGATGGCACGGGCGTCCCGTGGGGGCACCCGCATTGCTGCTCTGGCCAAGGTCAAGCCGGGCCAGCAAAACCCCAGCTGGTGCCCCCGTCTCACCCGTTGTGGCCATGGGGGTGATGGGGGGTGTTAGGTGCAGCCAGTGGGTGCCCACAGCAGGCACCCTGTATCCATGGCCTCCGGCTTGCCACGCGCTGGATCCCGCTGGGAAATGCGTCTCCAAGCATGAGTTTCCCAGGATGGAGCAGGGCTCAAAGCTGGGAGTTCAGCCTGTGGCACCCCAGGGTGCTGAGGGACATTATCCGAACCGAACCGCAAAGGCTATAGCGGCATCGTCCATCCAGCAACCCAGAGGCTCCGGGAGAAGCCCTGGGAGAGGGGCATCCAGCGCCGGGTCCCGCGGGGTCTCAGCAGGCACCTGTGCTAACAGGCGCCTCCTGCCAGCTAAGCACCTCCACAGCCATCTCCGGGGCGCGTTATCGCCCTGGCGCCTCTCCAGGGTCTTTTATGGGTTTATGACTCAGCAGTAAGGCGAAGGAGAGCCCGGGACTGGGGCGCAGGCAGCGCGCAGAGCCCGGCTTATCTGGCTGCCAAAGTGCCGGCGGTGCCCTGTTCCTAGCCGCAGCCTGCTCCTGCAGGGAGCGACACCGGGACCTGATCCTGCAGGGAGTGACACCGGCCCCACTCCCTCCGAAGTCACCCGGGGTGCCCTTGGCGTTTCTGACGCATTCGCTTGGCGGCTCCCAGGACAGAAGGGCTCTCCGTAGGGATGCTGGGGGAAGCTGAAGCCGCCTTGGTTGCTCCCAGACCCACGGAGCGCTGCCCACCACGGGTGTCGTGGCCTTGGATGCGCGTTCCCTCCCCCTGTTATCAAGCAGAACTAAAGCCCTTGCTTTGCCCTGCCACGCGGGAGGCCTGCCCAGGCACCGTGACTGCTGGGGGTGRCAGGGGGGATGATGCTGGAGAAGACCCACTGGTTCCCATTGCAGCACACAGGCGAGTGCCAGGGCCCCTGGCAGGCCGGGCAGGAGGATGCACGGRGCCTTGCCCAGCCGCCTGGGCCTGGGTTGCCCGCACAGCTCCCCGGTTAATGGTTAAGCAGGCCGGGTGGCTGGGCTCCCCCCTCGGCGCTATCAGCGCTGCCATCAGCCCCGGGAACACGCTGTACTTTGCCGCCTTTGTTTGCTTTCAGCCCTCCCTCTTGCCCGGGGGCACAATCCCAGGGCCGGGCTCCTGGCTGGGGAGAGCCCGTGGCCACCTGCGCGGCTCTGCCACCACCAGGCTGCTCCTGGCGCCACGCCGGCGGTTAGGGACAGGGTGGCATCCCCCCACAGAATACCAGCCCCGCAGCGGCAGCACCAGAAACTGGGGGCTGTGCGGGGTGGGGAACGCAGCATTTCAGGTGGCAGCACCATGGGCACCTTCGCATTGAGCGCCCGCAGCTCTCCATGGAGTTGAGCGGCGGGCGGCAGAGGCCGCGCGGGACGGGACGGGACAGGGGGCACCCCGGGGCACCTCGGCGCGGCCCCGTCTCGAGTCGGCGGGCAGAGCCGGGCCCGGGCGCAGCTGCGCCCGCAGCGCCGCAGCCTGCCCTGCGCTATCGCAGCTCGCATCAGAGCCGGGCGCCGGCTGATGGGGCTGCAGATAACGGCGTGTTTTCTTCCTGCGGCGGGAGGGAGAAAACAGCAGCGAGGTGACCTGCGAACACCCTAGGCCAAGGTCACATCCTCCTGGGAGGCAGGTGCCACCGGGATGAGGTGGGAGGCCCAGGGCAGTGAGCCTGGCATGGCCGCTTGCTCGCCCTGCAAAAGCCCAGGCTCAGAGGGCTTCTCCAGGGGGATAAGGCAGGGAGGTCCCTTGGGATTGTCCCTGGGACGGTAGATAGGAAGCTTGAGCACTGGGGGGTTCTTGGGGCAGGAGCCATAGGGGCTGGGGCAACCACCCTGACCGATGCAGGGCTCTCCCTTGACTCCCACAGGCTGCGACTCCGGCTTCGGCCAGGCGACTGCGCGGCGCTTGGATGCCCTGGGATTCCGGGTGTTCGCCAGCGTGCTGGACCTGCAAGGCGCTGGGGCCCAGGAGCTGCAGAAGAGCTGCTCGCAGAGGCTCACACTGCTGCAGATGGACCTGACCAAGCCAGAAGACATCCAGCGTGTCCTGCAGCACATCCAGGCTCACACCAACAGCACAGGTAGGAGCACAGGGACCAGGCCTGGTCCCGAGAGGCCACATCTGGCACRGCAGGGCCTGCCCTCCAGCCTTGCTCTGTGAGTTGCAGGTCCCCCTGCCTACAACCTCCTCCAGGTACCTCATAGTCCATCCTGGAAGTGCCACCACAAGCAGGGGCAGCAGCTGGGAGCGCTGGCTTCCCACTGGGGCCGTTGCCTTAAGCCTTCCCTCCCGCAGGGCTCTGGGGCCTGGTGAACAACGCGGGCTTCAACGACACCATCGCCGACGCCGAGCTCTCGCCCCTGGGCAAGTTCCGCACCTGCATGGAGGTGAACTTCTTTGGCTCGCTGGAGCTCACCAAGGGGCTGCTGCCCCTGCTCCGCGCCGCCGGCGGCCGCATCGTCACCGTGAGCAGCCCGGCGGGTGAGCAGCTCCGGGCCCCAGCATGAGGCCCGTGTAGGTGCGGGGCCAGACTCCTGTCACCCATCACCACCYGCCCCGGGTGCCCACCACGTTCCCCAGGTGGACGCGGCAGCTCTCTGCTTGGTGGACAGCACTCGGACAGCACTCAGTGTTTCACACTGAGCATCCTCGTGTGATGCCCTACACTGCAGCACRGCTCTGGGTGCTCCAGCCTCTTCCCCATCCCACCCTAGCTGGGGACCCTGAGGCAGCCATTGCTGCATCCCTCCAGGAGCTGAGGGCAGGGCTCACACRGGCGGCCTAGCCCTGTTGAGAGCGCCGTGCCCGCTCCACTCACTCCTGCTTCCTCTCCTCCCAGGGGACCTGCCCTTTCCCTGCCTGGCGGCCTACGGCGCATCCAAGGCGGCCCTCAGCCTGCTCATGGACACCTTCCGCAGCGAGCTGCAGCCCTGGGGCGTCAAAGTCAGCCTCATCCTGCCCGGCTACTACCGAACAGGTAAGTTCTGTTTCACAGAGCGGCGTGTGGGGCAGAAGGTCCATCAGGCCCTGCCACCAGCTCCTCAGCCACGGCAGCTGGCCAAACCCAGGCAGGATGGGCCTGTCCATCCTGGGAGGTCTTGTCCCGGGGCAAGAAGCACCACCGGTGGGTGTAGGGCAGGAGCGAGGGCTGTTGGGCTCACTGGAGCCTCTCTGACCCTGCAGGGACAACATGCGACCCGGCCTTCTGGAACCTGCGCAAGCAGCAGCTGGTGGCCAGCCTGCCCCAGGAGCTGCTGCAGGCCTACGGCGAGGACTACGTGGAGGAGATCAACCGGCAGTTCATCCAGTTCATGAAGGTGGCGGTGGAGGACCTCAGCGCGGTGGTGGACAGCATCACGGACGGGCTCCTCGCTGCCAATCCAGCCGTGCGCTACTACCCAGGGCAAGGCCTCGGCCTCATGTATTTTATACACCGCTACCTGCCCTACTTTGTCCGAGACTTGTTCCTCAAAGGATTCTTCATCAACCCCAAGCTGCCCCGAGCGCTGCGGCAGGAGCACCACAAGAACATGAAGAAGGCCTGACCACAGCCTGCGTGCCATCGCGGGGCAGGAGGGAACCTGCGCCCCTTAGCACCACAGCAGCCAGCCCCCCGAGCGCGCGCCCAGCCTGGCCCGCCCAGGACCGATCAGCACTAGATACAAAACCAAATCGCTTTCTGAAATCAGGCAGATCTATTTTCTATGTGTGAGAATCAGCATTTTCTAGGAGCCTTGTTTTTGTATTTGTTGTTTTTTTCCTATCCGCGCGTCCTGCGGCGCAGCCCCTCCTGGCCGATCCTCCGGGCTTCGGCGCGTGCCGCTGTGACGGACCTCACGTGTTCCGCAGCTACRTGACGTTTTCCCGGCCGCTGCTGGAGCTGCGAGGGCTCCTCTCCGTTGTCTCTTGGCTGAGTCAAGTCCCTGACCCTCTGCCTGCTGCCACGTGGGCGCCTGACCGGCCTCAGCGCAGCTCATCACACACTCCACGTGCTCCCTGGGATAGCAGGGGGCAGGCCGGGCTGCAGAGCTCTTCACCAGATGAACTATGTGATTATCACTTTGAAAAATAAATCTATTCTTAATATGCCACTGGGTCTTGCAGTCGCCTTTGGTGGCACAGTGATGGGGTACTCGCTCAGGGAGGCCCTGCCATCGAGGCAGGAGAACAGGGCTGGTCCCTGGCCACGCAATGAGTGGAGCTTTGCACTAAGCGGTAACAGCCTCGCGGGGGACAGCAGGACCCCATACGCAACAAACAGAACCACAAGATGGATATCTAGTCAAGGGGACATTAGTGGGAATCTGTCACTCAGCCCCGAGTTCCTGAGCTGTTCGGTTCACTCTCATGCAGCCTCAAAGGCAAGTAGGGGCAGCAAGGTGGGCTGCATCTCCTCTCAAGCACCTACCTGCACCCAAGTGCACCCACAGACCTAGTCCTGGGCACTACATGCTGCTTGGGCTGTGCTGGCAGCGACAGCTCTGCCTTGTCTCGCCCTGSCAGGGGCAGGAAGGGGAAGGGGTCCTGCCAGGATCCTCTACAAACATCTACACACCCTTGGTAAGAACAGTAGCCACAACCCACACTTAACCAGAGAGATGATGCCCGTGCCAGGCTAGCTGAAGGCTGCCTAGGACATGGTGCATGTCCCACCTTACCCAGAAGTGGTGGGTGCAGAGCTCCACGAGCAAGCCCTGGCTGATGCCTCCAACCCCAACCCCATGGCTGCACCAGGCACCTGCTCAAAGAGACCTAGGAGCCAAGTAAGCAGGGAGAGYGCAGTGCAGGCAGCAGATATTTATTGGTGCACAAGGATGGGAGGATGGCCAGGATAACAAACACAGCTCGGGCTGGGACAGGGCCACTCTTATCCCTCAACCCTTGCCCGTGGCAGTGCAGAGCACACACGTTTCCCCATCAGCAAAGCATCTTTGATGCCACATCGACACCGGGCACCTCCCAGCAGGCCCAAGTAACCTCGAGCACACGTGCGAGCCACATCACACGTGAGGAAGGGAGCTGGGCTGCCACACCATGGCTCTGGCTTGGCTCCTACCTCCTAAACACARGCCATGTGCCTCCATGAGGAGGGAGAGACTGCCAACAAGTCTTCTGTACTGAGCACAGTGACCAAGCGACCAGCCAGAGCCCAAGAGCTGCTCTGCAGAACTTGCCCATATGGCTAAGGGGAAGTGGCAGCYGGATGCCCCACGTCGGGTGGTCATTCCCCACCAGCCTGGACACTGTCCCTATGCCAGTGCAGTGGCTCCATCATAAATGCATCAACCACACGGGCCAGAAGTAGCCCCGATTCCTGTGTGGGCATCATGCAGGACACCTGKGGACTCCAGGCTAGCTCCAAGCCAGGGGCAGACAGAGAGGAAGGAGCTTGGACAGGCTACATGTCTCCTCCAAGCTCGAGGGCAGGAGGAAAAATAGCCAGAGCTGCTTTTGAGGGCCTACCAGGGGCTGCTCTAGTGCAGATGGAGAGGACAGCAGCACACTGCTCTGCTCTTGCCTTCCCTTAGGAGCTGTCCCAGTTCCAGCCAGGGGGATGCTAGGGAGATTGCAGGGATTACACAGCAGCACTGGCTATACTATAACGCACACTCGGACCATGCCTCACGGGGACAACACTGACTAGGAGGCGTTCTCGGAGCGCTGACAGGGAGGACACGTGGACATCGCAGCGCCGACGCGTCCTCCTGCAGGGGGAACCACGTGGAGGCAGCAGCCGCCGGCTGGTGCTCGCTCTGGGTAAGCACCTACAGCAGACACAGGGACTACGAGCTGCACAACGGGAGCCCTCCTGCCACGCAGCTGCACTGGCTGCAGCCCCTGGCCCCTCTGGAGCGCTCACAGCACACACAACTCAAACAGCTTCAGCTTGCAAATAATTTAACTATGAACTGTACAGATTCCCAGCGGAGCCGGTTCTACGGATGAGGGACATCCCTGGAGCCTGATGAAGGGATAACTCAGGGAGCATATCGAAGATGGGCAAGGGTCCCTCTGGACTCCAGGGGCAGGAGGGTCATGCGAGAACAAGGAAGGGTTAGAAGATAGGAATGTAGTTGTCGATCTTGGTCCTGTGCCGCTGGGCGATGCACTCTGCAATCCACACAATGTTGCGGCACTCCTGCTCCTTCAGTTTCACAAAGGCATAGAAGACTCCAAAGTGGAACTGGTTGAGGAAGGCAAGCTTGTTCAGCTTCACCTGGGAAAAGCCAGGAGGAGGAAACATCACCTGTCTACTTCTGCTAGACTTTCCTCTTGCAGGAGATAGACAACCCAAGTGTGGAGCAGTCTGGAAGCTCCACGACTTCCCTAGYATGCTGGAGGGCTCAGGCACAGTGAACTCCCTCTGCACTAGCTCTAGCACATGGCTCAGATAGGACAGGCKCTGATGTTCAAAGGAGAAGCATTTATACCATGTTGTGCTGTGAGGATCCTCCCTCTGGCTCCTTTCCCAAGTAATTACTCTCTGCTTTTGCTCCCTACAGACCAAACATGCATCAGCAGCCCAAATCTGCCTCCCGCACTGCTCTAAGTTGCTTGGGGAAGACAGTAGGATTTGAGCACCTGCCCTGAGGTCACAGTCATCAGGAGGGCTCACTAGAGCAGAGGACTCTTCCTTCCTTGTGGTTGACCTCTGTGCAACCACAGCATTAATGCCCTGGAGCCTGGCAGACAGCACAGGCAGCCATGTGCCGAGAAGTGCTTCAGGTGCCTACTCACCTCGTGTTCAAAGAACCTGTCTTCAAGGGTCTTGTCTCCTGGGTTGCTGCCAGCACCTTCAAACAGCAGTTTGTACTCCTGAAGGAAAACAACGTAAGAAGGATGGACCCAAATCCCCAAACCTTCCAATACTGACAGCATTCCTGGGCCATGCTGCTATCTCAAGGGCATGGGGTGAATGCAGGTCCATCACCCTGGAATGGGAAACCTAGCACAGGGCCTTCACTACTGCCATTATAGCGGTGACTACCAGGCCAACAGCACCCCAGACACTCAAAAGCCAGGCAAGACCACCTCCATTCTGGCCAAACAGTGGTAACAGCATTTGTCAGCTGGAAGTGGGCACCTTCTTCTACCCAAGCTGCCAGTCCCCCAATTCCCCCGTAAGTCCCTAGGAGATCCAATTTGGAGCAGCTTCTTGTACCAGTCCTCAACCCAAGATACTCACAGGGTAGTAGTCGGCAACATTTTTGACTTGTTCGTAGTCATCTGCTCTGGCCAGCTGAGCCAGGCCCTCGGGGTAGAGCTTGCCACAGTGAGGGAAGAGCTTTGCTCGATCTTCTTTGGAGAGCTCAGTACCAAATGAGTTGATGGTGATAATGAAGGCCCTCCTATCAGCTTCAAACTGCAAGAGAAGAGCATTTCACCTTGGGAAAAGGTGCCTCTGCCAGAACTTGGCAGCTACTGACAGTGCTCTCAGCAGACAGACATCACAAGGCAGCATGAGCAAGCCGGGCTCATCATTTAGGAAGCGTGCTGCTACCCTGTGCTCAGCCAGGCCCCCAGAATGACCAGTAGCTGATGCCTGGGCTCTAGCCAGGGCAAGAAGTACCCACCTCAGGCACAAGCCAGGTCACCGAGCAGCACCCTGGGTCAAGGAACGTGACATCTGCCTCGGCTGCAGCCCCTGAGCCCTGCATGCCCACAGCTGGTCCGACCATGGAGACTTGCCATGAGCAGAGCAGCAGGGGCTGCTCTCCTGCTCCTCATCCAGGTGAGAGGATGAGCATGCAAAGGCAATGAACTTGTGAGCAGCTAGCAGGATCAGGCCTGGGGCACCACGGCACCCAAGTTCTTCTAAGATCTCCTACTGAGCAGACTGGGAATACACACTGGGCTGCTAAGAGCATCTTGGGCAGTCTTCATACTGACAGGCTGGCTGGCCCAGAGCAAAGAATGCCACTGCAATACAGTCTGCCCTGAGTACAAGGGGTCCCAGACCTACCTCCAAGATCGGGCACATAGCATCTGCTGTGGTACCCCCGAGCGCCTTGCAGAACTTGTAGAAGGACTCCAGGTACGCCTGGAAGAGAAAGGGCAGAGGAACACTCCAGCACTGCTGCACTTCCCGCCCCACAGGCCACTCAGGCAAGCGGGGATGCTCCAGACCGTGTTTAACACGGCACAYCCTCGGGACAGCGTTTCCCCCAGAGCTGGAGGCAGGCAGCAGGATTTGGTTTTGGTCATGAGACCGGGCAAGCCTACTGCAGGCAAGATCCCCAGTCCCCAGGGTTAAAGCTAACGGGTGCCTTTCTGCTCCTTTGAGTGGTCTACCTCTGGACTTACCATAGTCTGACATGGTTTCCCGACCCTGCTGCAGGCATGCCAAGCCACACAAACAGGACTTCAGCTCACTAAGTGCAGCTTGGTTAAGTGCAGCTGAGAGTTTAGGAAAGATGTCTGCRAAATGAACTAGCTGTTCTCTGTAATTCTCTTTTCTACCCTGCAGCCGCTTGCTCTCCGTCCCGTTGTATAAAACATATAGGGCTAGACACAGCTACGCTGCCTCCTGGAAATGTAATCCTACATGGAAACACCGTCTTTCACCTGGAAGACAACTGTAACTCCCAAAAAGAGACAAGATTGCAGAGCATGAGGCCTGGAGTGCTGCTCAGCAAAAGTGTTCTCAGAAGAAGTCACCACATGATACATCTTCCCTGACCCACACTTGCTATCAGAACCACATAAAAGAGGAAAAAAATTAAAAGGACASCAAGACTTCACAAATCTCTGCCTTGTCACAACAGCTCCAGGGCTGAAAGTGGACCAGGAATGCAGGTGATGGAAACTTTTCATCTCTGTGCTAGGGGAGCGCCCAGATTATTGTGTTTTGTAAATATTTACTACTACACAGCGCAAATGGCCTCTGCCAGGTGAGCACTATACATAAAAGCAGCATTACCTCCAGGAGGTGGAAAGTTTTTCCTTACTGCTGCTCTAGCGCAGGTAAGCGCAGAGCATCAGTCCGTAGCCTTATGATGGGTAATGGATAATGAACGCGGGCATGGATAATGAACTTTGCTTGAGATCCACAGAAAAGGGAACTTGGGTAAGAGATTCASGTCGTTAACTTTGCCCTTCTCAGAGCTCACGTGCAGCCAGAACGGCTTAAAATCAAAACCAGGCGATCTCAAATCTCCAKCACTGAAAGAGGCTCCAGCACCACTGGGGAAACTCACGGACGGTAAGAGCAACCACAGTGAGTCCCTCCAGTTCACTGCCTTGTCTCCCACAGCAGCCAACAACAGATACCCAATGAATCCAGTGGAAAAGATCACTCCCTCCTCCTGCCGGTCTCATTGGCTTTTCACATTCAGATCTAGGGGAGGTCCGTGGAGCCTCTCTTCCAAAAACACCACCAGGTCTGGAAGGCAGCACTTATCTCTCTTCTCCACAGCATGGCACCTATTCTCCGAGGCAGGAATCTATCCTGAGTGAAGGAATATCTGCCTCAAAAAGGACACGGGAAAGGATATCTAGGCATGAGGGACACCACTATACAGCACCCAGCAGTGCTTGCTCCGTGCTCAGCCCTGCTCCCACAGCTGCACCCTCTCAGGAGGGTCTGAAGCCTGCAAGGGAGGACAGAGTTATGCAGAGAGCCTTGCCACCCCCTCTGGAGCAGGAGATCAGCACGTGCCAGGGACCACGTGCAGCTGGSTACAACCACCAAGGCGCAGCAGCTCTTCCCCCACTCCTGCCTTCCCCTCAAGCCGGGCTCATTTTCCACCTCTCCCAAGGGACCCCAGCTACCTTTGGAAGCAAAGGTCACACGCCGACCACTAGCTGGCTGCGACCAGTCCAAGCAAGGTTGCCAGATACGATCTGCATCCTACCCTCAGTCCAGAGAGCCAAGTGATGAAGCGATAGCCACAGCCTGCACATAAACACACGCTCCTGCAYTGCCAGCGGGAGCCAGGCAGTGCCTGCCAAGGAGAAAGCTGCTTCCATACAGACTCCGAGCAAGGCAAGACCTCCATACCCCTGCACCAACGCCGTCCCCAGCCTGCAGGTCTCCTCTAGGCTAGCAGCAATTCTCTTTACACTCCTCTACCAAGAGCACTTGGTAGAGACCAACCACTGCTGCTAAAGGCTCGAGAAGACTGTTGGAGACTTTTCCAAAAGAGTCCAAGACAGAGAACCAGGCTCGTGAGAGTCCTTCAGTCAAGTTTAAGGTCAAGCTGCTTTAGCACTTCAAGTGCAAGAAGTCCATGTCTAAACTGTGTGGTTAAGGAACAACCTCCTGGCGAGTGCCCGAGGAAGTTCATTCAAAGCCAAGACATTTGGCAAAGCCTCCTGTGTAGACTCGTGACAGCCTGAGAGTCCCCAGTAAAACCACTAAGCTAGCTCTGCTGCCTTCACTCTGCGGCCCTGGGTGAGCAGACCTCTGGCACTATTTTTATTTTCCAGTGGACACAACTAGCTCTTAGTCACATTTATACCATCACCAGTCCAGGGAAGAAAAGAGAGAGAAAGTCAATTTATTTTTCATGTGCTCTTAAGAGGAAAATATCCTCTTGCCTTGGTCTGAGAAAAGGCAGCCTAAGCTGAGGCTCCTGGAAGCACTGGGAGATGACCTATGACAAGCAGGAATAAGCGTCCTACGGGGAAGTTAACAATTCTTGCCCTGCTCCACCCGAGGAAGGCTCACTTACCTTATACAGCGTGTTTCGAATGATCTCAATGTTCATTTCATCCAGGTCCTGTTCCGAGATGCAATCTTGGAAGAAGGCGGCTGAAAGAGAGCCACAGAGAGAGTGAGTGTTGCCCTAACCAGCCCCTTGCCCATCGCTTCCCGGTGGGAGCAGTACCAGAGCCACCAGCAACCCTGGGTAGAAGCAGCCTGCGTGCTGAGCTGGCTCTTCCTAAGCCCGGCCTGTATCTTCAGCAGCCACCAGACTGCCATGACTCAAAACCTCAGGCTCCACTATGGCTTCCCCAGGCCACAGTCATTTTCAGGCTCTCACTTGCAAGTCTTTCTTCACCCCTTAGTCCTACAGCTCGGTTAACAATTCATTTTTAGCAAAAAAAAAAAACCTCAAGTGGAAGTGCCAGGACAGCCTATGTAGAAGAAGCTCAAACTGTTCCCAGATGCAGACATCCAGAGGTGACAACACAGCTTCTGAACTGCCTGCTTCTGCACAGCAGCAGCATCCAAGCATCCAGCTGCAAGACAGCAGCTAAAATGTGCTGAGGAGCTGCCTCTGTGCATCTCCCTTCTCCTCCAGCCTCTCAGCTGGATCAAGGACACATGGGGATTCTACAGTTCTTACAGCCTGTGACACTCCACATGGGAATTCCAGGAGAATTTCCCCCCTGACAGCTCTGCCTCTCCTATTTTTCACTTCCTCCAAGGCTTTTTATTCCTCTAGTTGAAGGTGAGCTGCAGCAGACAAGATTTACCACTGTATTTTGGTAGGAACCTCCTCCCTACCCATTTTGCCAGAGTATCTTTGAGAAAGACCTTGAGAAACTGTTGCCACCTAAGGAATACAAACGGATTTCAGGCTTAACAGACCACCAGCAACACCAGTGCCTTTGTATAAGCAGTCCATAAAGATGAGTGTGCTGCTCTGCAAGGTATGGCCCAACTGACTGCATCCAGCACGATGCAAGGCTCTTTCCACTCACATCTGTGAGAACACAGTAAAAGTCATTTCCAGAACTTTTCTGACCTCTTCTACTCCCACTCAGCAGCTAGTTTTGCTGAATTTGCTATATATAGAGAGAAATGTGATCTTCCTCAGCTTACATACACACCAGCTGTGGGAAACGAACGCTCCTACCTGACAGGGAGCCGTGCTTGACAGAACAGGCACCCTACAGGTTCACAYCTCTGGGGAGCACCACGAGCTCCCCGAGCCTCAGCAGCTGCACCCGGGATCACCAGTCCGGAACGGYCCCACGGAGGTTTCTTTGCAGGAGCATCAGAGACCACTGCCACGTAGCCAACGCGCGACTGCTCGCCGCAGCAGGCAGAAGTGACAACGGAGGGTGCCAGCGCCGCTTTTCCCTGGCAGACTTGCTGGCGAGTGGAGCAGCGGCTACTTCAGAGCAGCAGAGGAATGAGCACGCAGCTATTTCGGTTCCCGGCCCTCCAAAATCCCAATTCAGGCTAGCAGTTAACTCGGCTAACCTAGGAGAGCCATGAGGGTTTGGGCATTCCTACCAAGCCACGTAGCCACGAGCACTTCTGCGAGGCCGCGCTGCCGTTTCGGTGCGTGTGGTCACTGGAAGGAGAGCAAGTTCAACCACGGCAGCGGGCACCGCTTGCTTGTTTAGGCAACACGGCTGCTCCCCACAGACCCGCGCTGCACAACGCCATCGTAGATGGCACACGGTGCCAAGGGCATGAGCAGGGCAAAGGGCWGCAAGATGAACTCACATTAGCCAGGGCAGACGTTGGCAAAGCTCGCTCTGGTGCAAAGGCACGTGCAGGCAAGTGGCAGAGACCCTCAACTTCACCAGCGCCACGCAGCTTCTTCAAAATCACCTCAGATGTTCTCACCGCATACCCATCCTGAAGATTTAAGGTCCCCAAGGGCTAATACTCTCTTGGAAATGCTCAGTTCTGTCTCATTCTCCACAAAGGTTCCAGCTTATTTATGAGGATGGTCTTTGCATACATCACCTCTACCATGGCTCCACTTGGTTTGCATGCAAAGTCTTGGCTCTCCTGCTGTGCTGTCCCATTTAACAACCTCACCAGAGCTTCACTCATGTCTCACATGCAGAGAAGGGGAGGGCAGTGCTGAGCCCTGCTGCAGAAGCAGCTCAGACCTTCAGTGGTAGCCACATCTCTTCTGACTTGTTTCCTCATCTTTGTTGGGCTTTACCTGGTGACTCATTTTTCCACGCCAACTATTTCGCTTGCCCCATTGCTAGAGAGGCCAGAAAAGGGAGAGGCTAGAAAGTGTAAAGAGCACTTTCAGTTACAAAAACAATCACAACCATCAAACCCAGCACGAGGGTTTAAAGTGTTTTGTTCTTTGTAGCAACTCCAAAAGAATGATTAATCACTGACTCAGTCGTACCTCGTTATTTTTGCCTGCAGATGCTCAACTACAAAGTCTCCTGTGGCCACCTCTCCTGCTACTGCAGAAAGTTTTCCGTATTACTCCAGAACCACTTTCCGCACCTTTTACCTTTAAAGAAACCATCTGCCTAACCAGGTGCTTTTAAGATAACTGTTTTTACAGCATCACGTGCCTCCTGGAACACATATGTAGCCCTAAGACCGTAGCTGAGCTGTAGACTCATTAGCCCAGTCCTCCAACAGCCTGTGACTCAGTTACACCTCTGCAAAACCAACCTGCCTATGTGTGGGATTCCAGCATATAGAGAGCTTCTAGAGTTCATTTTTAACTGCTTTTCTTGGTCTAGAGATGGTTTTATTAGTCTTTAAACAAGGCTGGGCATGTGCAGAGATCCATAGTTACACCTACAAGAAATTGTTCCACAGTCCAGTTGGACATGCTAGCGGTTAAGCAGCTTCACTCCAGCAGAGGACCTTAAAGTCCTTCAATAGGAGCGTAAGGGCTATGTGTCCCATGACAATTTTTTAGAGGTCCCATGACAATTTTTTAGAGATCCCATTCTCTAAGACCTCTCAAACTTTCTTTGAGAAGAAAGTTTGTTTCAAGTCACTAGTTTCGAGTCGTGATTTCCAGAAGGGAGGGCAAATCGGCCTGTGTATCAGATCTAGCAACACCTGCACAGCCACRAAGGGTCAAGGCTTGGTTCACACAGACCATATTCTCCAGCAGGGAATTCCTTGTTGCCAGTGCACTGGATTTGCCATTTGTTGAAGCCTGTAGAGAGACAGCTGGCCCTCCAGGCAAGAAAAACAGACACAAGACAGACCTAAGCCTGAATCCAAGCCCAGCACCCACAGTGCTCCAGCAGTGCAACTTGGATCTAGTTAGACCATGAAGGAACATGGACATCTGCTCCACACATATCTAAGCGACCCTTTGAAAGGCTCTGCTCACCCAGAGGAGTGTCCACCAGGATTGCATTGTACAGCTCTGCGGGCGTCTGCGCGATRTTCACGGCTTCCATCTGCTCAAAGCTGCCCAGGGGATGGCACTTGGGCACCAGCTCGGAAATGGAACGTTGGTGCAGAGTCCCAGTGATCAGCAGAATGACATTGTCAATCATATAGCTGTACCTGGAGAAGTACAAGAGAAAAGCCTGTCACAAATTGGTTAATACAAACAAAAAAATAAGAAAAAGAAAAATGTCAGGTGAGTAAAAATGGTCCTGCTTAGCAAGACCATGACAAGAGGGAACCAGGGATGTGCTGATCAGAAAAGTGCTCATCTACTTTGTCCACCTATGGTCTATCTACAGAGAAAGGGTCATGTGGCTGCAACCCTGCACTCTTCCAAAGAGCTAGCAACTCTGGTAGCTGGCATGGATTTTACTCACATCATCATGCAATCACATGCAAGCCTTTTTCACATCTTTACCAGTAAAAAGCAACACGCTTTGGCACTAAGCCAAATCACAAAGCTCCTCACTAAGTTCTCTGCTGAAACTACATAGGACTAGCAGGTTTTTACAGTCGTCTGCGCTGCAGAGGTGGCTAAAGGACCATCCACCGCTGCGGCTTCTCACCAGATTTCAACTCTGCCCGGAGCACCCGTTGCAGATAGAGGCACGAAGCAGAGCAGGGGAAAAGGACAAGGTAAGGAACTGACCTGCTGAGAGAAGTCACGGGTGAGCACCATGTTTKCAGTCAACAGAACTGCTGGATACAACTGAGCTCCTGTAAACCCCCCCATCTGCACCTCTACAGCATTCTCAAATATGTTAAATTACATTTTTGAAGTGACTTGTTAGCTTTTCTTTAGCAAAAGGAAGAAATCTACAGTATCAGCCTACCATGGAAGACAGCGAGTGGAAGAGATGCAGCATTAGAGCAAGAATCTAGTGGACAGTGAAGATTAATGCAAGAAATCAGGAAATGGCCCTCGGTGCTTGAGCAATCGAGTCACAGATTTGCCTGAAGACTGGGGACGTAACAGCTGGTGGCCTTGGCCATGCAGATGCAGCAAGATTTCCTGGTGTCACTTAAAAAACAAGGGCCCGAGAGGAAGARTGTCCTCAGCAACGAGACACCTTCAGCACGGGCTGAATCACGAGTCGARTGGCAGATCTGGGAACCTGAAAAATATGAAGTAATATGAGATATTTTGGGGCAGAACAGACCTCTGCAAGTGTCCCTTGTTAGCACAGGGAAGGGGAGAGATGCTGAAAGGGCAGGATGTTTGCGGTTTTGCGAGTCCCTCTCGCTCTAGAGTCAGACCTAGCTCATTATTTAGCTGGCAGATGGAGAGAAAGGCTTGGAGATGGCTTGGCAAGAGCTATTGCAGAGCAGGCAGGATCAGGCCTGGCGTCAGGCAGAGCATCAAAGTCCCGTGAGCTCTGGCTGGGCCTCCCATGACCAAATTCACTCCTTATTCAAACGGGTGTTGCCTTTTATTCCTCCACATGGCCCAGGTGAGTAAGGCACTTTCTGGCACYATCATTCTTGTGGAGAGCTTTCTATGCTTGTGATTCACATTTCTCGTGGCGCTTAGTCTCCAACGATGGTGATCAGGACAAGTGTCATGGTACCAGGAAACCTCCTTCCACCCTTTGCTCCACAGGGTCATTTCCCTTCCTAGTGTTTGYGCAGCTCTCACCATGGAGATGGCTGCGGTCTCCAGGACACCAAGGAGGGCCTGTTTATGAGAACCGAGGGCAAGTCCTTTGCAGCAAGCAGCTGCTCTTGGTAAACACAAGTTCCCGCAGCCTCACACGGATTCAGCTCCACCAGGACAAACATACAGGAGATCACTTCCGAGTGCTGCTGTCCACACTCGGATGCACATAGTTTTGTTCAGCGACACACAACAGCTCTTAGGAAAAGATCACACGCAGGAATCCTGCCCGACTAAGGCCATAAAGTAGCAGCAGATCATGCTCATTTCTAAGATTTAGCCTACAAAGGAACGTGCTCATTTCACAGTCTGCTGGTASAGCTCTCTCCTAGGCCCCAGGTTAGGATGGGTTTTGCAGAGCTTCTCCATGAGATGTTGTCAATCTGCAAAGAGCCTTTACAAGCCAGCCGTATCAGAAGAACTGGAACGATGCCTGGAGCTGTTCAGAGGTCTGGAGAGAAGCGGAGCTCCTGCCTTGCTGAATGCACATTGATCTCTTCCTTGCACTTCCAGTCCAGCTCAGCCTGAAAGTCACAGTTAGGTTTGGGGAGAGCTGCCCAAGATTGACTCGTTTTACATGTGGGAAGCTCTTTCTTTCAGCCTGCTGCAGACTGTGAGAGTTTGTGACATGACTCTTCCCATTCCATTTATTCACCTTAACTCACTTGGGTTTCCTCATCCTCAGAGCAGTCTAAGGAACGTCAAGGTTACAGACCAAACACCAAGGCCTCTATCAGGCCCCGCAGCCACTTTTTGAAAGAGCATTTCACCGAGTGAGCTTAGTTAAGTCTTGCTGCCAGAGAAAGACTCAAGCTTGGGAGATAAGGAGCCACCACGAGCAAAGCAGAGGGAGATTCCTCACTGATGTGACCATGCTGCAAGCCTTTATGGCAAGAAGGGGGCTGCAGCATGACTGGACTCATTAACTCACTCAAATGCAAACTCCACCACTGCCCCAGTAGAGCACGCTCCAATTCTTCCTCRAGAAGACCATTACCTTGCCATGTGCTTTAGCTCCTAAAGCATCTGAACCTTCACTAGTTCTCAGTGCAGCGCGTAAAGGGACCAGACTATTCCAGRAGGAGCTGTTTGGAGGTCTTACTTGGGGTGCAAGAGAGACCAACACACAAGAAAGGCTGAGTAGCTCACTGGGAGCACTGGATCACGCAGTAGGAATTGGGAGGAGAAGGCACTACCTGGAGGCTCCATGTAAGCTACAGTTTGACCTGGGGCAGTAGGGCTGTAGTGAAAAGGTGGCAGCTGATCTCAAGGCTCCACCTTGGTCTCCAAGAAAGCTATAGCGAAACTCTGGAGCCAGACCATACACTCCTGCTTCAAGCTGCTATCTGCTGATACAGGTAGGAGATTATGAAAAGACTGGGTGTTCAGCCAGAAGCGGTATCATGTATATAGTTACACCCTGCCTTGTTTTTCCATTCACCCACTGAAATGAGGTGTGTTCCTTTCCACAAATTCACATTCACGGAAACACAATTTTCGTTGACACCTGGAAGTGTCAATAACAAGACTAGAGATTTTCTTAATAAATACAGGAAAGCATCAAGTGCAGAAACTTTATTCCCAGCAAAAACCTGTCTCAATGCAGCCTTCAGAATCCAATCCTCAGGTGCAGCTGATGCAGCTTAACTCCTGCACGGTCTCAAAGATGACAGCAGGCTTTGTAGGTGCTTTCTAGACAGACATAAAGAAACAGAAGCTCTCAAGTTAACTCTACCTTCGTCGGAGACAGATGTTGCCTTATGGCTTCCTGGACTCCAAGAAAACGTGGGCCACTCTGGCACACCTGAAGCCCAGGGAGCATCTGGTTCAACACAACCTACCTTGGACAAGCTCCACAGAACATGAGAGCAAGATCAGCCTGGGACAACATATAAAGAAGGCAAAAAGAAGTGGTTTGTTCCAGCAGCAGTAGATTAGAAAGACTGTTCTCRCTACCAGATTTGAGTTGGTCTCTAACACGCATGGAAAGGCCACTTGGAGAAGATACAGGAGAACCAAGCTCCAGAAACCAACCTTGGGGCTAGCCATCCATGGATGCTGGAATCAAGGAGGAAGGACAAAGCACACGCACAAGGGCACCACAGGCACCTGGAGAATATGTTTTCTCCCTTTGGGGATTATTTAGGCACAGCTACTGATAAACAAAATATGCACGGAAAAAAAAAAAAAAAAAAGATTACAACAGCCCAGTGAATACTGGGAGAGCTTTTTTGTTGCTGTTTAAACAAGGAGAGCTCATAAAATACATGGAAGTTCATCACGTGGGYGCTTTACAACTTGGCTCGCAAGCCCTTGGGCAGAGCCACGCATGGCCACCCCAAGACACTCGGGGCTTCTCCTTCCCCCACTTACTAATCTAACCATAAAGAGTCATTGTCCTACAGCAGATAGGTCGGCTTTTTATTGCTTTCTGCTCCAGGATACTGAAGAAACTGTAAACAATACTGCAAGTGGTCACAAAGCATGACTAATGGCAGAACATTGCATGACCTGCGTTTCTCAGGAATCCTCTGAAAGCCCTGCCAAGCTGTAGTTAAACAGCTGCTCTAGGAAGGGTCATGAGGACAGCCCTCCATGTCAACAGTGAAACGCAGAGATCGGCGGGGCTGATAATAGAAAGCACAGTCCCTGCGGAGGGTGCAGGGGGGAAGGACAGGGCTGTGCTCAGGTGCTTTGGCTTCTCCTCGTGCCCCGAGCTGCAAACCTGCTGTTTGTAAGGAGGTATTCGAGTTATAACTTATGAGCCTCCCACCTGCGGGCAGGTTTCCTGTCTTGCACGAGGCACTGGGATCCAGGGGACCTGCAATTTTGAGCGAATGAACCAAAACAAGGTTATCCAGAGCACAAGTGAGCAAATCCACAGGGCTGTGTGCCAGCATGGCCAGGGCACCGTTATAGCGCRTTACTCACCRTGCACRGTGAACATTTGTTACCTGAGTGTCTGAAGCGCCTAGAATGGCTCAAGRTTTTGCTCAAGCAACTCTGCCCTCYTCCAACACCAGCATGAGGCTTTAATTTAAGACAAGGCTACTGCTCGCAAAGCAAAGGTCACTAGGGGACTGCGCTGAGCGGCTCATCACGTTACTCCAGAAGCGTGTTATTTAGGGACAAAATAGCAAGGKGCCAGAGCAGGGCTCTAATCTCAGTGTAAACTCGAGAGCTTGAAGCTACRATGGAGTTGAACTGGTGAGAGATGATTTTAGATACTTTTTTTTTTAGACACTTTTAGTATTTTAGAGCATTTAGTGCTTCCCTCTCGCAGCTCACCCACATCAGGTAGTTGGGGGCTGAGAATGAGACTGGGGGACTCGAGAATAGGGACAGAGAGCTACAAGTGAGAGTCTCATAAATGATTAGAATTTTTTCGTACTACACTTTTCCTAGGTTTTGCCTTAGTGTAGGATCAGCCTTGGGTTCTTGTAAAAGGGAGTAAAGGCATCCG